CGGCTACCACATTAGCATTCCAGGATTGTAGCTAATGGTGCAGTCGTAATTCTTGACCAGCTCAAACCACCTACGCTGCCGCATATTCAGCTCCTTCTGAGTGAGAATGTACTTTAGGCTCTTGTGATCGGTAAATATCTCACACTTGCCTCCATAGAGGTAGTGTCGCCAAATCTTCAAGGCGTGGACGACTACAGCTAACTCGAGATCATGAGTGAGGTAGTTCTGCTTGTGAAGCTTCAGTTGTCTCGAAGCATAGGCTACAACTCTCCCCTGCTGTATGAGAACACAACCCAAGCCCATCTTCGAAGCATCACTATAAAACGTGAACTCCAAAGTAGGGTCGTGTAATACCCCATTCGGTTGTGGATTTTTGGAGTTATTATTTATTTTTCCTTGTTAATATTTGTCCTCTTTATTGTTATTATTATTTGCTAATGTGATTATTATTATTATTATTATTATTATTATTATTATTATTATTATTATTATTATTATTATTACTATTATTATTATTATTATTATTATTATTATTATTATTATTATGTTATTAATTGTCTAATTGTTATTATGTGTTTAAATGCTTATTATTAAATAATATTATTGTGTGTATTATATATATAATGTCCGGTTTTAATTTAATTCGTGTTGTTGCATTTTCGTATCGAGCTTGAGATTAATCTTTTGACCAATTTGAGCCCATTCTCCTTTTATTAATAATTTCTAGCCCAAATGATATTAGTATGATGACCCAAGTTGAGTAATGTCCTTGGCCCAATTCTCTTAATTAAATTTGGCCCATTTGTTTATCCAATTTTTGGCCAATTTCAAGTGATTTACGGATAATTGCTCTTCCTCTTCATATGTGCGCGAGAACCGGTCGTCATCTTCAACCGTTCAAAAATGTTGGTGCGATTCTCTCGCAAGATTCTCATCGCACGTTCGCCCCTCTCTCGTCTATATACCATGGCAGATAAGATTTTTCTTTCATCTCTTTCACAGCTGCTCTCATCATCTCCGTTCAAAAAAAAAAGAAAAAAAAAATTCAATTCTCTAACCTGCAAATCCGGCGAACCTCCATTGTTTCCGACGGATCTTGCTGTCATCGTGTTCTTGCGCTTCCTCGCAGTCAGGAACTCCATTCCGTCCAGCAAATCGTTCGTCGCCGGAGTACCCCAACATCTCGCCCACCATTGATTCCGGCGAGTGTCTCTGGCAAACTGCTAGTCTCCGTTTCGCAGCGAGTCTCGGTCGCCGTCCGTCGTGAGGAGCTTCTGTACGAGGACGCCTTTCACAGTCAGCACCGGTTCGAGAATTCCAAGTCCCGTCCGAGAATTTGAGTCCCAAAGCCGTTCGGCTGTCCCGTTGTTTGGCCCGTTTCCCGTTCAATAATTCGTAGTTTCCCAAATTCGGGTAACTTATTCTAATCCTCTCGCTAATACGGTCATTTTTATATATCACACGATATATATATGATGTGTTCGGGTTACCGAAAGTTGATTTGAAGTCGGATTGTTTTTGGTTCATTTAATTGTTTATATGTATATTTCGTTTATACGTGGATTTTCGGAAGTGGTTGGAACTCTAGATTTCATAAACGTCAATACCGTTGTGTTGCTGTGTTAAATGTGTATAAGTTCGGAGTCTCGTTTTATTATTTCGGGTCGTCGTTAGGTTGTTCGGGTCATTCGAGCCCCCCTCGTTCATTTTGTATTATTATGTTTGCCAATTCATTTCTCGAGCAAAAACCCGATTTTATTATATGTTCGAAATCATAAAAAGTGTTGTTTTTGCTAACAGTAAAAATGTTCGAACCCCTTGTGAAATTGTTGTTGAAATTCAGTCATTAGCAAGTTTGTAGCAACCTCTGTTCGATTTGTTTTACTTTCTTTCTGTCTCTGTTTTTTGTGCAGTAATAAGGAAGGTGTGATTTAAATCCACAGGTTTCAAATTGTAATAAATGTTTTTGTGCGGTATTATGCGCGACCTTCTCTGCGCGAGGTCCATGGTTCGAACCTTTGCTTGGACATTAATTTTTTTTTTATGGTGTGAGTCTTCCAGCAGAGCGGCCTGCGTGCTTTAAGCCTATATAGTGTTGAGCCAGCCCTTGTTGGGCCCAATTTCAGCATATCTCAGACCCCATTGTGGGGCAATCCTTAGCCAGAATTTAGACAGTGCGGCCCAATTGATTTTTAGCCAATTTTTGTGTCCCGGAGTCCGTTTTTCGTACCGATTTCAATTTTAAAAATATTTTTAAAATGATTATATTTTTTAAAAAATTATTTTAAGTCCCGAAACTTCAATTCTAATTCTTCTAGTCCCATTTTTCTAAAATGAGAGAGTTCCAAGTCCACGAAAAATTCGATTAAAACCCTTAAGTCTTAATTTTTATTAAGCATGGGTTTTATGTTTAATTCGAACAGTGAGATAGATTATTCATATATTATCTCGCTTAAATGTAGGTGTTTGAGGAGTCCAGACTCGACCTACGATCCATTACTTGTCGTGTTTTGCCATTTCGAATACCAGGTGGGTTTTAATCTAAAATTTGCTATGTTATAATTGAGGTAAGATTTTTATACTGAATGTCTGTGAACGTATGTGTGAGACATGAGACGGTGCCTAGTGGTGGGCGATCTCAAACCTTGTGATAGGTAGACTCATTTTAGCCTAGTCGATGGGCCGTGACCGTTGATGTTGAACCTCGGCACGACTGTACTCCCGCTGACGAGTTTGGGCTTACCCCTGGCAGCTTTTGATAGGTGTGCACATGAGTATAGTGATGAGTAGGAGAGTGGTGTGATATGTCTTTTGACCATGTACTTGCATATGACTCTAGTATAGGATTCTTACCAATATATTATGCATAGTGGTGAGCACCTCGTTTATATTTGTGCTCATCCCCACCTGCTCTTCATTGATGCAGGATAAACACGTGTTGGGCATGACGAGACTGAAGACGAGTGGGTGGTCAAACATTATTAATGCTTTTTATTGCTTCCACATGCTTTTATATTTATGTTGAGATTATCAGACTTTGTTATTCATCCCTATTGCTTTCGGGATTGGTTGAACTGTTGAACCATGTCGAATATTTTTATCAGTTTGGATTATGTTGACAATCCTATTGCTAGATATGTTGAAATCTAGTCTTGGAACTTGAATTATGTTGAATATTCTCGTTTCCCTTATGCTGATTATGTGTTTAACTTTGGAAAGTTCTCAAGTAACGCCAAATGTTTTATGAATCGATAAATGGTTTTCGAAATTTTAAAACAAGATTTTTAGATAAGTCCGGAATTGTCTTTAAAAATCTTTGGGGCGTTACAGGTCGGGTATGGACAAGACGGGCGCGGTAGTGAGTCTCTTCTTCAACTCCTGGAAAATCTCCTTGCACTTCTGACTCTAATCTAACCTCATGGCCTTCTTTGTAAGGTTGATTAGTGGCTGGGCTATCTTCGAGAAACCCTCGATAAACCCCCTGTAGTATCCTGCTAACCACAGGAAACTACGAACATCAGCGGCACTTCTTGGTGTATCCTACTTGCTCACTGCCTCAATCTTGTCGGCATCCACCTCAATACCTGTAGCCGTCACAATGTGGCCAAGGAATGCTACACGATCTAGCCAGAACTTGCACCTCGAGAATTTTGCATACAGCTTCTCGCGGCGAAGAGCCTCCAACACAATCCTCAGATGCTCCTTGTGCTGGTCGATGTCTCGAGAATTAACCACGATGTCGTCGATAAACACAATGACAAACTGGTCTAAGAAAGAATGAAAGACTCGGTTCATAAGGTCCATGAAAACTGCTGGGGCATTGCTGAGTCCGAAAAGCATAACTACAAACTCATAGTGGCCATAACGGGTTCGGAAGCCAATCTTAGAAATAACTCCTGGATCTTCAGCTGATGATAGCCAGACCTCAAGTCAATCTTTGAAAAGAAGCTGGCTCCCCTCAACTGGTCGAAAAGGTCCTCAATACGGGGAAGAAGGTACTTGTTCTTGACTGTAAGGGTATTAAACTCCCAATAGTGAATACACATGCATATCGATCCATCTTTCTTCTTCACAAATAGGACGGGTGCTCCCCAAAGTGAAACACTCGGTCGAATAACTCCTGAGCAACTCCTGGATCTGGGCCTTGAGCTCTTAAAGCTCCTTCGGCGCCATACGGTAAGAGGATTTAGAAACGGGGCTAGCTACGGGTACTAGATCAATGGTGAACTAAACCTGGCGGTCGGGCGGTCCTCCGAGTTGCTCATCAGGAAAAACGTCGAGATACTCGCAACCGATAGAGACTCTCTCCGGGGACCTCTCAGAATCGTCCTCGGGTACCATAAACACAAGTTAACTTTGACAGATACCCTTGGAAAGGCTCTATCTAGCTTGCAAAGAAGAGATGACTCGAGGCACAGTCCTCGACTTCACCCCATAAAACACGACAGGCTGATCAGAATCGAGAAAGAGTGTGACTTCGCGCTCCTGGCACCGAATGTTGGCTCGATAGCGAGTGAGCCAGTCCATTTCCAAGATCAAATCGAAGTCTCGCATTTCAATCACATACGCGTTGGCATCCAGGACTCGTCCATCAATACTAACTTGAAGACTAGGGACAAGGGAATCAGAATGAATTTTTTTTCCCGAGGCAAGGCTAACCTCGGGAGGGTCACAATGGCACACATTACTAATGAATAGGGACTTTAAGCAACAAGAAGAGATAAAGGAATGAGTAGCTCCGGTGTCACATAACGCAAAAATAGGCACATTGGACAAAGAAATCATGCTAGACATGGTACCTGCATTGTTGGTCGCCTCGTCATGAGTGATAGTGTAGACGCGGGCCTGGCCTCCTGCCTGCTATGGAGTTGAGGGGGCTGCCTGGACTACTGCTGCTGGTGAGGTGGAGGGGGAAGCTGCTGCTACTGGTATGGCTGCTGTCTCGGGGGCTCGGGGTAGTTGTTGAAAAATTGACCATGCTTCATGCAGTTGAAGCAGACCCTCTGGGTGAAATGACAATCTCCAGGATGATAACGGCCGCACTTAGGGCACTTCGAATTCTGACCCTGGGCAACAAGGCACTCACTGCGACGGTCATTCTCACCACGCTTTCCCTTCTGGTTATCCCGGTGGAAATCTGACTTCCTCTTGCTCGAACTAGAGCCGGGCGGCACAGAGGAGATAGGCTGAATTGGCTGAGCAGAAGAAGCGGGGACATGGAGAGCCTGGCAACTCTCTAGCTGCACAGCTCGGATGATAGTCTCGCCATAGGGAAGGTTCCCCTTGTTGGAACCCACGAGGATCTCGATATGCACAAATCACAGACAAACAT